GAGACAATAGAAATTAATTCCAAAAATATGAAAGCATGGCATATAAACTAAAATTGTTTTGGAAATTGTTCACATTGACTGTTTTTGGTTTTATTTCTGAACAGTTAAAGCAGTTCACTGCAAATATGTGGAATTACAGAAATGAATCTGACTTCATCCTGATAGGGCTGACAGATTCCAATGAGATCCAGCTGATCCTCTCTGTGCTGTTTCTCCTGATATACCTGGTTACGGTGCTGGGGAACACAGGGATGATTCTCCTCATTCGTCTAGATGCCCAGCTTCACACCCCGATGTATTTCTTTCTCACCCACCTGTCATTCCTGGACCTCAGTTACTCAACTGTCATCACACCTAAAACCTTAGAGAACCTGCTGACTTCCAGCAAGAGCATCGCCTTCAGTAGCTGCTTCATACAGATGTACTTTTTTGTTCTCTTGGCAGCTACTGAATGTTTCCTTCTGTCTTCAATGGCCTATGACCGCTACGTAGCTATCCGCAACCCTCTACACTACCCAGTTATTATGTCCACGCGATTCTGCAGTTCTCTCCTTACTGGGTCCTATATTTTTGGAGCTATGGATTCCTCTGTCAATATGTTGTGCATGAGCACACTGAATTTTTGCAACTCCACTGTAATTCATGACTTTTTTTGTGACACATCCCCAGTGATAGCCCTGTCCTGCAGTGACACACATGGCATTGAATTCATTATATTCATGTTTGCTGGTTCCACCTTACTGCTGTCCCTTACCACAATATCTGTGTCCTATGCATCCATTCTCTCTACCATTTTGAAAATCAAGTCCACTTCAGGAAAGAGAAAAGCCTTCTCCACTTGTGCCTCTCATTTCCTGGGAGTCACTGTCTTTTATGGCACCATGATCTTTACTCATTTAAAACCAAACAAGTCGTTCTCCTTGGGAAAGGATCAAGTGGCTTCTGTGTTCTACACCATTGTGATCCCCATGCTGAACCCACTCATTTATAGTCTCAGAAACAAGGAAGTAAAAAGTGCTCTCAGTAGAGTGATACAGAAGAGAGAGAGCTCCAAGCAGTGAGGCAAACTGGTGCTGAGAATTCAACTTTTCTTTCACTGATATTATTCCCTTGGCATTACTGTTTAAAAATAAGTGAAAGCATTGATTTCCATATTTTGTGGTGCTTCCCTTACAGAAACATTCTTGGACACTTCCAGGAATATAGTTTTAAAATTCTGTATCCCATTTAGAAATAATTAAACATTTGTTAGACCCACATTCAAATTATCTATTGGTAAGGACAGCTGGTGTTCAAAGTAAGAGAATATATTTGTAATTCATAAACCTAGATCATACAATATTACATACATGCTGAAGTTTTTTATTATTATCAGTAAGATAATTTTCAAAAAATTACAAAAGTTTCAGAATGCATTCCATGTATAGAATGAAGTAGCTTGTTAACTCCACCATCCATAAAAATCACTGGAAATTTAAACTTCCATTTCTTCAGCTGCAGAACTTTAATAATTCCAGGAAAAAATATTTTAGGAGGATTTATAAAATGCATTGAAGAAAATAATTATACTTTCACTCATTATCAGTGTAAGACTTAAATTCCTCCCATATCTTTAATTTCAGAATATTTATGGGTGTTTTGAAAATTATTTTCTTTTAATTTAAACTGGAAACATGCAATTACCTGATAAGGAATATAATCAACATTCCACAAATTTTGACTTAAATTATTAAAATAAGGTCAGGTTATAGGGAAATGCTGCATGCTAATATTAGTGACAATTTAGAAATTAAAGTTTTTTGGAAGAGACACATTTTAACAGTTATAGACAACAGTGCCATATTCTCAGTCAATAATTGTCGATGTATGTCTGTATGTGGCATATAGAAACAAAATCCTGCAATTTCCTTTTTATTCTTTTGCAGCTTTCTGCATTGTTTTGAAAATCTAATATGTGATCATCTCTTTCGCACTGCAAACTGTGAGGTGAATGTGTTCTCAGTGCATTCAAGGCCCGTACCTCATCCTACATTCCTTTTACCATGATATATTATAAAATTCTCAAGTCAAAATTCTACATGCTTATATCCTTGTTCATGCGTACCTGACAACCTTTTGAAAACCATGCCATTCTAAGATATATCATGTAGCTTTGATCCCTATACTTACTCGTAGTCTTTTGTCTGATTAGTTTTGCTTTGTAAAGTCGTTTGGAAACAGATTCTTGAGCTAGGGAGAAGGACTGTGAAATGTGATTTTCTGAGCAAGACACAACCATCAGAATCATGAACTCTGAGCAATGGTGAATGTCTGTGCTAGATCTCCCCTTGCATGGGTCCCTTAACTACCAGACATGGATGCAGGAGAGCTCAGGGACCCTAAACATCACTGTTGATGTTTTACTAAAGATGGATTCAGGAAGAGGAGAAATCATTGCCTTCAGTTGTGTACCCACTGATGAACTCACAAAGTTACACTGCATAGTGCCAATCCAACTGTCAAAATTTTTGACATCCCTAATGAAGAACTATCATTTAAACATATAAGTAATTACTCTACTGTGTAACATAGTGTAACTGTTAGTACATCATATATTTTAGTCACAAAAAGTACAAAATTTTTATCACAGGTAAACACACAACCTTGATAATTGCTGAGCAGTAGGATATGGTGTGGTCCTCACTCCCTGCATTTGTGAACTCATCCCTTGCACTGGTCATGCTCACTTAGTTTTCAGGACACGAACAAGTCATTCTTCCCTGCAGATGTTAGTCCTGATATTTTCTGGAGATTTTCCATTCTCTTTCTTTGCTAAATCTACTTCGGTGCACAAAACTGCATAATCGCTTCCTGATTTTTTGTTAAGAACGCCACCCCTCACCAGTCCACTTGAAAATTTATCTGTTCACATCATTCTCTTGAGTTTCATTTTATTTCACAGCAGTTACTAACACCTGGTATTTTTATATGCATCATGTTTGAAATATTCTGCATGCTCTTAAGCATGTGGTTAATGTCTGAGCATGAGAATTTTTCATTCTCATGCTCATGGGTCTCAATTATTAATAAGTGTGCTTAATAAGTGTGTTTATAGATGATGAATCTGGAGCACAGAAATGAAAAAATTTGTTCATTTTCACTCTCTAATTTCAATCCAAATAGATAGATTCCAGGCCTTGTCACAATTATGTTATGTGATTTTTTTTACGTAGTATCATCTTGCTGAGAAAAGTTTTGGTTCTAATAATACTGACATTAAATAAAGGAAAATATGTGTTATTGCCTAATATATTCTTACAGCTGTTTAGAGAAGGTGGATAAGTTTTTTGGTAATAGAAACATCTACTCAAGTATAAATACACATGTACAGCCTTGTAGACTGAAAATGAACTTGGAAAAAGAAAATACACCGTATCACATGAAGATATGATACTGGAGGGGGGCAGAATTAAGATCAGTACTTTCTGAGACTATCATACACAAACAGCAGTGGATTGACTTATTAAAGTCAAAACTGTCCATTCATATATTTTTCTGTACTGTGAACTGAGCCTAGGGTCATGAATATGCTAGGGAAGTGGACTGTCTTTGAGTTATATCTCCAGGCTTAAATTGTTTTATTTATTGCACATGTGCATGCATGTGTGTGTGTGACAACATGTGGCAGTCAGAGGTCAACTTTTGTAGTTGACTCTTTTCTTCCTAGCTTAGTTCTGCAGAGTAAACTCAGTCATGCTTGGGAGCAAATATATCTAACTGTTGAGCCATCTTGTTCCTGGATTTTTTTTAAATACAGAAAGAGAAAAGTTCATTGAAACTTTCTACATTTGATATGAAAAGATAAATTTTATACCTTTTAATTTTATTCATAGCTATGACATAAATTATCCCTCTTTAACAGCACACAATGGGTAATATTCAGTCTACATTTTGAGCATTCAACGAAACACAACATTATTCTCCATCTGAGTTATATCACCAAAGTTCTCTTATTCCTTTTCGTTCCTGTTATTAAAATCTTGCCTTCTTTCCTTGATATTTTCCTTCCTTCCTTTGTTTCTTCATTCATTCCCTTCTTCTTTTTTTCATTCTTTCCAATGTTATCTTTATCTTGATTGCCAAAGTTCAAAACTAACTAAATTTACAAGGATCATGAATGGAATGAATGACAAAATCCAATGGAAATCACACCTTTAACTACTTTCATAGAAGAGTTCCTTTGACCTGAAAGCCTTCTAACGGCAGTTTGGCTATCAGAAGGCTGGATGTTGATATGTAAACTGCCGTGAGAGAAAAACCAATCATTCGTCCAACCCAGCCCTAAAGTCTAATAACCATAATGAACAGCATGGCAAACTACCTCTTCTGGTGCAGTAGTGGCACTGTTATCTGGGAGACAATCAGCACCTATCCAATTGGACTTAAAGCCCTCTCAGTGGGAGGGAGCTCATGGGTAGCAGTGTAAACTCAGCCAAATGCACATGACAGGAGGGGACATAAATCCTAGAAAAAAAACCCTGTATCTCTCATATATCAAGACAAATGAAATTTCTTACTAAAATATTGATCCTTATGTTTACAGGCAAGCATGCCATACAGCACTCATCAAAGAAGCTTCTTTTTGCAACAGATGGAGGCTACTGCAGAATTTCATACCTCGTCAGACACAGAGAACATACATCTGAGAGATGCCCAGTACTAGGTGATACTTCTACAGTTGAACCTCTAGAGATAATGATCATGGAACATAGCAGAATAGGGGTAGAGAAAACTAATGCATCCCTCAACTCTCATCAGTAAAGCTTCTTTATACCACCAAGTGCAATGCATACAAATGGCCACATTGGCCAAGTTTTAAAGAATAAGAGAATATAGAGTATAGGACAGGACTCCTCTAGGGATCCTCATCCACTTATGGCTCAGGGACCATTACAAGAAGAGGGGTCAGAGAGACTGTAAGAGCCAGGGCTGGTTCATGAATAAGGGGAGGCAGAGGCTTCCAGGCCACTAGAAGCCTGCTCATGTGAACTTGTGGCAATGGTGGCATTGAGCACAGGACCTATGTTAACTCAATTAAACAAGGGCCCAAAGAAGAGGAGAGAAATGGGTGCCAAGCTGGCAGGCTGGCACTAGACTGAGAACTATTAAAGAGTGATTGTTTCTGGGTGAGGGAGAGTATGACTTATATATGATCATTACACGGGCTGACTAGACTCCAGTGGACACATTTACACTGAAGGACATTTGGGTACAAATGCCTGAATGAATGGAACTTAACATGTATGGCAGAATACATGAGGTTTGGTGGGGGCATAGCTGAGACTGGATGGGGCATCTAAATTTGACTAAGAACTGTTGTATGAAATTACAAAAGCTCAATAAAAATATTTAAAAATTAGTTCCTTTGTTTTCTGATTCCTGCCTTTTACTTAATAAAGATCATAGTATTGCCTGTAGCATAGTTAAGGAAAGATAAAAATTTTGTGTAGAACAAATTTATCAAAGTTTTCACCTTAATATAATAAGCTTAATATCAGAGTATTTGTACACATGCAGCTCATGTTTGAATTCTGAAGCCTTCTTAAGAGCCATGTAAGACTGAGAAACTTACAGTATTGTACACTGCCTCCTCATTTGTACTAACAGGAAATACTACAACTATTTCTTATTGGGACTATGAGAACTGCATAAATTAATGTAAACATATATAGCATATTTGTATTTCCAATATATAGTGAACTATATATAATTATGAAATGTTTTGGAGGGAAAGAAAATTTCTTCATGCTCTAAGTATTTCTTTAAAATTCATAAAATAAAATTGCTACATATAGATGAACTGGAGAAAACATTTTAAATTATTGTATGAGGGCCTGGAGAAATGGCTCAGCAGTTAAGAGCACTGACTAGTCTTGCAGAGGACCTGAGTTTGATCCCCAGCAATCACAAAGTGGCTAACAACTGTCCATTATTCCATTCCCAGGGTGTTTGGTTCCCTCTTCTGACCTCCATAGGCACTGCATGACATGAGTGCTCTTGCATGCTTGAAGGCAGAAAGCTC